ACATGATAACAGCTGATTTTCACTTTAAAAATTTTTAACAGCTAAGCTAACAAAAATAACCTAATTCACACATTTAGAAAGAAAAAATATTCATGAACAAGTCACATGTAAATGAATTCAATTCAGTGAAGTAAGTGGGTTAGCAAAGAAAATTTGAAATTTAAGGTTGACAAAAAGAAATATTACAGAGAAACCATAATGCTACAAATATAAATATTAAATGAGAGAATTTCACACCTAACATGGCAATCATTCAATCTATTGAAATAATTGTTGTCTCAGAATACAGCAAGGGAAACATACATTAAAAGTAAATGCTATAACATAAATGTAAGAATATATGCAAATATGCAGTATTTTTTGAAATTCCCATTTTTACGTATTAAAAATGTGTCTCCATGAATGTCCTTTCCTCACCTAGCATAGCCAGTCACCATCAGAGAGGCTTCCACCAGCACCAAATGGGAACAGACACAGGGAATCACAGCCAGACATTAAGCAGAGAGAGACTCTAAATGGAGGTTTCCATGAAATTCTTCCTTTCAGGGCTCAGGGTATCCTGAGGAGGAGAAGGCAGAAAGATTGTAATGTCCAGAGATTATGGAAGACATGGGGAATACAAGGCCCCTGAATCAAATAATCAAGGTGCATATGAGTTCACAGAGACTGAAGCAGTAAGCCCAGGGTCTAAATGGGTGTGTACCAGGTACTTTGCATATACATTATAGCTTTAAACTTAGTATATTTATGGTACTGTAAAAATGAAAATCCTGTTCTTTTCTAAGAAAGACAGAGAGACTGGATTCAGAGACAAGTGAAGTGACTAGAAGGACAAACTGTAATCAGGATACATTATATGAGAAAAGAATCTATATTCAATTAAAGGAAAAATAAAAAATAATGTTTCTCCCTAATGTAGTCAATAAAGACAACAGCACGCAGACTCAGTAGAGTACACTGATGTTTACATCCTGTATTAAAGACCATAAGCTAAAAGCACAAAACTGGATAAAACTATATCTTTTATTAATGTGGCCTTCACAGAGATGAAAGAGGTGCTACAGGAAATAAATGCTAAATATATACTGTCACATGCCAATCTCAAATTGCTATATTAAGCTCAATAAAAGTGACATATTAAAGAACATTAATGAAAGTGAAGATATTCATAATAGATTCCATGGATTATTTTTTTACAGAAAGCATGAAAATTACATGGTAATTCTACATAAATTGGATTTTGTGTGATTAAATCCAATTTAAAGACAGAGGATTCTGTTCAGTATGAGCCTGTAACCCATCAGTCCCAAATAAAAATATAGAGCCCATAATGTTCTAATATGTTACTCCTTCAGCAGCTACATGGAGAGCATGTCCCTCTGATGATTATGCCCTGCCTTCCCTCTTCCCAGAATTCTCCTTATCTGGTAGTACCACCTATGCTTCCTGTCTTGCTACTGGCCAAGCAGCATTTGTTCATCAACCAATAAAAGAAACACATATTCACGGCATACAGAAGCAGGTTCTCAATCATCACCTCTTTTCTGTGTAAATAAAAAGGAAAATTTTAACTTTAATAAAGTAAAATTATATATAACAAAACAGTTATCATATAACAAAACAGTTATCAAGAACTATAGTCAACCATATTTAGTTCACTAGCATTTGACAAAATATAAAGAAAATATTACATCATCTACTCTATTATATTAAGCTTAAAGTTTTATATGTAACTTATCTTTTATCATAAATAAGGGAAACCATAATCATAAAACTATCTGTCTTTAACTCCATCAAAACCCCAGAAGGATAATATATAAACTCTAGAATTAACAGAGACATGTTGCTGCCTGGACAGTCAACAAAAATTCCTCTGTAAGGTTGAGGCATCCATCATCAGCCTATAGGCCTAGAGTGTCTGCTGTGAAGCAGTTCAGATAAGAGCAGGTTCTTGTCCAATAGTCCACTTTTGCCAAATTGATGGCAAACTCCATAATGAGTGTTTCTGATGCCCATCTTCCTCTCTGATGTAATTGGACTTTCCAGGAGGACTTGTATATCTTTGTCATGGAAAACCTTAATGAACCATTTTAAAGGCCATATTTTGTAGGTATTTGCAAGATTTTAAATAATACCTATTTATTTGCTACCTAGTAAACCCAACTAATGCATCTATAAGTTTTGAATATTATAGGTTACTACCTATAATCTGTATTTAAATATATGTTACATTTTTAATGAGCTATATAAACATATAAGGGAAACAAACCAAATGACATGGGGAATCTAAAGGCCTGAACTATATATTCTTTTATATTTTAAAAGGTTTGCTTATGGACATAAATTTTTCTTGAAAATAGAAATGAAGCAAAACTAAGGGAAGAGGGTGCATTACGTCATCGTACTGCATAGAAAATAGTGACTGACAACTGTAAAATGATGACCTAAAATTTGCTTTATGCCCTATAAAATGGTAAATAACCAGCTTTCATTAATTATTTGACACCTTATATGGAATACCCCAACCAACTGAAAATAGGAGATGAAGACAAGCTGTTTGTCAAGTTCCTTAAAATATACACTTTGGTAGATAACATATGAATGTTAAAATTATGTTCTTATGCTACTAATAAGTCATTTTAGGGGTTATTAAATTAATAGAGTGAGGATGAAGGCAAAAGCAATCAGGGATCAGCCCATTGTGACATATGACACTTAAATAAGTCAAAACTGCTGAGAGCAAAGGTTGCTACTTTCAGCTGCCAAGAAGCTATAGCCCACAATTAAAAGCAGGAGTCTCTAAGGATGATTATACCTGTCTGCAAAAACTAAAATATTTAGCACGGCATTATCATGCAGAAAAGCTTTTTTTTTTCAGTTTAAATTTAGATAAGAAACAAGGTTGCTTCACAAGTCAGTTCCAGGTCCCTCTCCCTTTCACTCCCCTCCTCCCGTGCCCTCCCCCCAAACCCCCCATTATCCGCTCATTCCCCCAGGGAGGGTGAGGCTCTCCATGGGGGTGTCCATGGTCTGTCATTTCATATAGGGTAGGGCCTAGACCCTTCCCCAAGAGTTCAGGGTGAGAGTGCACCTCACATTGTTCTATGGGAGTCCAAAGTCCGTGTGTATACTTGGGATGGGTACTGATCTGCTGTCCAAGGCTCAATAGATTACCTAGGCCTCCTCACTGACACCCAGATTCAGGGGGTCTTGATCAGTCCCATTCTGGATTCCCAGTCATCAGCCTGGGATTCAAGAGTTAACCTTTGTCTGGTCAGCTGTTTCTGGGGGTTAAACCAGCCCTGTCTTAATCCATTTGGTCATCAGTCCTCCCTCTCTGTTACTGGCTTTCTTGAGTTCAGCTCAGTACTTAACCGAGGGAGTCTTCCTCTTCTTCGATCAGCCACTAAATGAAGTTTCTGTTTTCCAGACCCTCTGGCCATAGGATTGTAGGCTGGCACTCCCCAGATCTATGTCTAAAATCCATATATGAGAGAGTACATGCCATGTTTCTCTTTTTGTGACTGGGTTACCTCACTCAGGATGGTTTCTTCTAGTGTCATCCATTTGCCTGCGAATCTCATGATTCCATTGTTTTTTTCTGTTGAATAGTACTCCATTGTGTAAATGTACCACATTTTCGCTATCCACTCTTCGGTTGAGGGACATCTAGGTTGCTTCCAAGTTCTGGCTATTACAAATAAAGCTGCTATGAACATAGTGGAACAGACATCCTTGTTGTATGAATGGGCATCTTTTGGATATATGCCTAAGAGTGGAGTTGCTGGGTCTTGTGGTAGGTTTATTCCCATTTTTCTGAGGAATCTCCATACTGATTTCCAAAGTGGCTGAAACAGTTGGCACTCCCACCAGCAATGGAGGAGTGTCCCCCTTTCACCACATCCTCTCCAGCATAAATTGTCATTGGTGTTTTTGATTTTAGCCATTCTGACAGGAGTGAGATGGTATCTCAGAGTTGTTTTGATTTGCATTTCCCGGATGGCTAAGGATGTTGAGCACTTTCTCAAGTGCCTCTCAGCCATTTTAGACTCCTCTATTGAAAACTCTCTATTTAGTTCTGCAGCCCATTTTTTAGTTGGGTCCTTTGCTGTTTTGGAGGCTTGCTTCTTGAGTTCTTTGTAAATTTTGGAGATCAACTCTCTGTCAGATGTGGGATTAGTCAATATTTTTTCCCATTCTGTGGGTTGCCTTTTTGTCTTGCTGACTGTGTCCTTTGCCTTACAGAAGCTTCACAGTTTCAGTAGGTCCCATTTATTAATTGTTGATCTCACTGTCTGTGCTACTGGTGTTATGTTCAGGAAGCTGTCTCCTGTACCAATTCGTTCAAGGGTACCACCCACTTTCTCTTCTAAGAGGTTCAGTGTGGCTGGATTTATGTTGAGGTCTTTGATCCATTTGGACTTAAGTTTTGTGCATGGAGATAAACATGGATCGATCCGCATTCTTCTGCATGCCAGTCTCCAGTTATGCCAACACCATTTGTTGAAGACGCTTTCTTTATTCCATTGTATATTTTTAGCTTCTTTGTCAAAGATCAGATGTTCGTACGTGTGTGGTTTAATACCCGGGTTTTCAATTCGATTCCATTGGTCTACCTGTCTATTTTTGTGCCAATACTAAGCTATTTTCAGGACTATAGCTCTACAATAGAGCTTGAGGTCAGGGATGGTGATGCCTCCGGACGTTGCCTTGTTGAACAGGGTTGTTTTGGCTATCCTGGGTCTTTTGTTTTTCCATACAAAATTGATTATTGTTCTTTCAAGGTCTGTGAAGAATTGTGCTGGGATTTTAATGGGGATTGCATTGAATCTGTAGATTGCTTTTGGCAGGATTGCCATTTTTACTACATTGATCCTACCTATCCAAGGGCAAGGGAGATCTTTCCATTTTCTGAGGGCTTCTTTTTTTCTTTCTTTAAAGATTCAAAGTTCTGGTTTCACGTGCTGTGCTTTGAGCAAGAATGAGCTGGGAATCACAACATGGATGCAGTGACCTATGATGATGTGCATATCAACTTTACTCTGGAAGAGTGGGCTTTGCTGAATCCTTCCCAGAAAAGCCTCTACAAAGATGTGATGCTTGACACGTACAGGAACCTCACTGCAATTGGCTACAGTTGGGATGACCATAATATTGAAGAAATTTGTCAAAGTTCTAGAAGCCATAGAAGGCATCTTCAAAGGCATGCAAAAATTAATACTGGAGAGAAACCATATGGAAGTCTTCAAAACAGTGAAGTGTTTGTATGTCACAATAGTCTCAAACTCCATAAAAGAACACATACTGGAGTGAAAACCCATGAATGTAATCAATGTGGTAAAGTCTTTGAAAGTCATGGTCACCTTCAAATACATAAAAAAACACATACTGGAGGGAAACCCTGTGTATGTAATCAGTGTGGTAAAGCTTATTCTCGAGTCAGTTGTCTCCAAATACATAAAAGAACATATACTAGAGTGAAACCCTATGAATGTAATCAATGTGGTAAAGCTTTTGCAACTTGAGGTGTGCTTAAAAGACATATAAGAACACATACAGGAGAGAACCCCTATGAATGTAATCAATGTGGTAAAGGTTTTTCAAGTGGTGGTGAGCTTAAAAGACATATAATAACACATACAGGAAAGAAATCCTATGAATGTAATCAATGTGGAAAAGCATTTTCACAATACTCTAGACTCCAAATACATAAAAGAACACATACAGGAGAGAAACCCTATGAATGTAATCTATGTGGTAAAGCTTTTTCACAACGTAGCAATCTTGTAGCTCATGAAAGAACACACACTGGAGAAAAACACTATAAATGTTATCAATGTGGTAAGACCTTTTCAACAGCAGGTAGTCTACAAACACATAAAAGAATACATACTGGAGAGAAGCCCTATGCATGTATCCAGTGTGGTAAAGCATTTTCACAATGCTCTAGACGCCAAAAACATAATAAAACACATACTGGAGAGAAACCCTATGAATGTAACCAGTGTGGTAAAGCATTTTCACAACAGTGCAATCTCGCAGCTCATAAAAGAAGGCATACTGGAGAGAAACCCTATGAATGTCATCAATGGGGTAAAGCCTTTGCATATCGCCATTATCTTCAAGTACATAAAAGAATACATACTGGAGAGAAACCCTATGAATGTCATCATTGTGGAAAAGCATTTACCTTTCAAGAAAATCTCATAAGGCATGAAAAACTGCATACTTGAGAGAGACCCTGTGAATGTAACAAACATGGTAAAGCATTTGTGTGTAATATCAGTCTTTAAAATCATGACATAATCATACTGCAGAGAAACCCTATAAATGTAAGCAGTGTGGTAAAGTTGTTCACTTTGCATATCACAATAATCATTGGAGGCCTGAGAAAATTCATACTGAAAGGAATCTTGCTATAAAGGTTTTGGTAAGATCTTCAGCCAACACACATTTCGTTACACAAGATTTTTGAGAGGAAAATTGACTCACAAGTGTCAATAGTCTGATCAAGCATTGCGATGCCTCTATTTTGCTTGCCCATTTAAGCTCATGTGGACAAATGTCTTATGAATTAATTGATAAGGTAACCCTTTTGATTTAACACTTTTCTTTAATTTCACAAAAAACCTCATTGAGATTAGTTAATTTCTCTAAACTCAATCCTACATGCTTCCTTTCTATTATGTGAACCAATTCAAGATGAATGGGAATTGTTAAGACCTTAAATGCCTCAACAAATGTGTTATAGGAATGACTGTTTACAAGAGTAAATATTCACATGTGAAAACATGTTTGGTTAGACATTTGATTTAATTTTAAGGATGTGATGTCAGTGTGTGGCTTTGTGACTTCTCATGCTTTTTCCCAAGATGCTTGAATATTCCTGTAGTAGAAACTAAAGAAAGTTCTCAAAAACCTGACTTAGTTCCTGGCAATGAACTTGTCATAATTTTGCTTGTCCAGATCTCTAACCCTGTACATATTTTAAGTGCTTTTTGATGTTCCTGATGTTAGATAATAGGGAAGAACTAACCTCAATTCATGTAAACAATTTGGTAAAGACTTTAGATTAAATAAAAAATATTGTTTTGTGTAAATATTCAAAGTTCTTACGATACAGGTTTTTCACTTGCTTGGTTAGTATTACACCAAGGTATTTTATGTTGTTTGTGGCAATTGTAAAGGGTGATGTTTCTCTGATTTCTTTTTCAGCCCTTTTATCATCTGTATATAGTAGGGCTACTGATTTTCTTGAGTTGATCTTGTAGCCTGCCACTTTGCTGAAGGTGTTAATCAGCTGTAAGAGTTCCCTGGTAGAGTTCTTTGGGTCATTGATGTAAACTATCATATCGTCTGCAAACAGTGGAAGTTTGACCTCTTCCTTCCCAATTTGTATCCCCTTGATCCCCCTTTGTTGTCATATGGAAATAGCTAGAACTTCAAGTACCATGTTGAAAAGGTATGGAGAGAGTGGACAGCCTTGTTTTGTTCCTGATTTTAGAGGAATTGCGTTGAGTTTCTGTCCATTTAGTTTGATGTTGGCTGTTGGTTTACTGTATATAGCTTTTATTATGTTTAAGTATGACCTTGTTATCCCAGATCTCTCCAAGACCTTTATCATGAAGGGGTGTTGGATTTTGTCAAAGGCTTTTTCAGCATCTAGTGAGATGATCATGGAATTTTTGTTTTTCAGCTTGTTTATATGGTGGATTACGTTGATGGATTTTCGTATGTTGAACCATCCCTGCATCCCTGGGATGAAACCTACTTGATCGTGGTGAATGATTGTTTTGATGTGTTCTTGGATCCGATTTGCCAGTATTTTATTGAGTATTTTTGCATCAATGTTCATGAGGGATATTGGTCTGAAGTTCTCTTTCTTAGTTATATCTTTGTGTGGCTTGGGGATCAAGGTTATTGAAGCCAAATAGAAAGAGTTTGGCAAAGCCCCTTCTGCTTCTATTGTGTGGACCACTTTGAGAAGAATTGGTATAAGCTATTCTTTGAATTTCTGGTAGAATTCTGCACTGAGGCCATCTGGACCTGGACTTTTTTTTGTTGGGAGACTTTTGATGACTGTTTCTATTTCCATAGGGGTTATAGGTCTATTTAAATTGGAATAACTTCATGCATCTTATCAGACCACCATGCTTTAAAATTAGAATTCAACAACAACACAAATTGCAGAAAACCTACAAACTCATGGATATTGAATAATGCTCAACTGCACCATCCCTGGGTCAAAGAGGAAATAAAAAAAGAAATTAAAGACTTCCTCGAACTCAACGAGAATGAAGACACAACATACCCAAACCTATGGGACACTTTGAAAGCAGTGCTACGGGGGAAGTTCATAGCACTAAGTGCTCACATGAAGAAACAGAAGAACAGTTATACCAGAGAATTAACATCACAGCTGAAAGCTCTAGAACACAAAGAAGCAAACTCCCCCAGGAGGAGTAGACGCCAGGAAATAATCAAATTGAGAGCTGAAATCAATAAAGTAGAAACCAGGAAAACAATACAAAGAATCAATGCAACGAAGAGTTGGTTCTTTGAGAAAATCAACAAGATAGACAAACCTTTGTCCAAACTTACCAAACAGCAGAGAATGAACACGCAAATTAACAAAATCAGAAATGAAAAGGGGGACATAACAACAGACTCCGAGGAAATCCAGAGAATCATTAGGTCATACTTTGAAAACCTGTACTCCACAAAATTCAAAAATTTAAAGGAAATGGATGACTTCCTGGATAGCTATCACTTGCCAAAACTAAATCAAGAACTGAAAAGCTTTTTCACTCACTCATGTGTATTCAACTAATAGACAGATGATAGGTAGATAGCTGATAAATAGATGCGTAGATAAGTTGGCTGTTGATAGAAAGATGACAGATAAATGATAGATAGACAGATAGATAGATAGATAGATAGATAGATAGATAGATAGATAGATAGATAGATAGACATACAGAAATAAATTGCAATGGAGAGTTCAATAAATATAACTTATCAACTTCAATTTAGTGAGGACCTATGGTAGCTCTAAAATATTCTATTTGAGGTTCTAAGGATTTATTTATTTGATGTGCATAGTGGACTATATATAAAACACATGTATGCTGGTATTAACAAAGGCCGTAAAAGAGCATTATTCACACAGAATCTATAGTTTTAGGCATATATGAGCCTTGTGACAGGGATCCTAGAAGCAGAATCTAACTCCAGGACAAGACCAAATATGTGCCCTTAAACACTGTACCATATTCTAGCTCCTAACATGCTGTATTTGATCCAAGCAACATCCATACCTTAAACATGAATATTTAGTCATAAAAATGCAACAGTGATAACAACAGCAATAAGAATTTGGAGGACAAAGCAGATACAACAATATCTCATGGCAACTTATTATACTCTATTAAGAGACTTAGTCCAAAATAACCACAGTCAACTTTTACAGTAAAGTTTTTGGACATATGCTATTCTTTCAAAGAAGAAATCTGAGACATTGAGAATCTGTTGGTCAAAAGCAATAGGCAACTAATTGCTGTCCACTATTGGGTGCATTCATTTTCACTCTGTGCCATGCCTGAGATAGATATACAAAATGCAGAACTCGGGAAGCAGGCTCTGCCTGTCAAACATCCACATTCTACCTAGTTATGGAACCACATATAAGAGCAGGTAAGAATGTTGAGAGTTATAGACGATATATAAAGTCTATCATCACAATATTTGACTTCAAGATCCATGGGTCCTGTTAATCTATATACTACAAGTAAGACAATTGCATATAACTAAAAATGTCTTATGAAATATATACTGGTGGGTAAATACAGCATATCACCTGTGAGAAGGTGAGGTATCATCTCCAATTAGGACTTAAATTACATTTTTACCCCAACACCATATTTCCACAGTGTATGGCCTAAAACGGATGTTCAATGAGGAATTAAGACATAATCTTGGGGTTGCTGTTGCATTAACTCAAATCACCAAGTGTACAGTTATATGTAGACAACATATTGTAGATAGTAAGTTTTTGAATCCCAAGTCTATGATATTTCTAAGATAATACTAAGAGAATAATATGACACTCATGACTAAGAGAACTATTCAGAACTGGGGATTTTCCACTTAGTTGCTCTTCTATAAATTCTACTAAAAAAATACACAAATAGCAAATTCAGGACAATTAAAGTGCCTCTATAGCTCAGCTATGCCGGTTAGCTAAATAGGCCAAAGATAGCACTCAACTATCTGCAAAAATGGCTCAGTCATACAATTAAAGCCTATATGTGAATTATTTTAATAATGGAGTGACATATTTAGACTTTAAAGGTATTTTAAGAGTATTTAACATCCAGAGGTGATCACTGCTAACACTAAATGCATGTACTGTACATAGAGTTCCTAAGTATATATTAGTGTGAAAAATTACCTTCAGTATGCTTAATGTGGGGTAGAGAGGTATTAAATGTCTTTAACATTTTATCCAACTGCCTGGTTTTTAAGTAGAAGTGTCTTTGACTACATGTCTGAAGTATAAACCTCACAATGAAACTACCTGAACCATTTTAATGAATTTGTCTTTGTGCACACACATACACACACGTGTGTGTGTGTGAGAGAGAGAGAGAGAGAGAGAGAGATTTTAATTGTAAGTGGGGAGATATTACCTGATATTTAAATGTAACAAAACTAACTTACATCATGTAGAAAGATTATGCATATGTGCAGGCTCACTGATGCAGAAGGATAGATTCACAGGACATTAAGAGGTGTCCTGTCTGTGGTGTTGTGCCTACATGGGATTTGAAATTTGATAAAAGGCAGAGTCACACTTAATTGAAAATCAAGTAGTGCAGTAGGAAATTTCATTTTAAACTGAGGAAGTAGAATTGAATGTGTATATCTATATATAAGGACAAATGAAATTAGAGACATCTTTTATCAGAGGAACTGAAAGTCTCTTTGAAAGATAACAGCCAAAAGACAGAGAACAATGTTCTGATCTTGACCGAAAAGCAGAGCTTTAGTCTCAGCCAAAGAAAGGACATTTTCTGGGAAGTGTATAGTCTGGCATTCAGAGT